GCAAAGTTGTTGTGACACCATCAGAAACCAATCAAAAATTGGATTATGACTCTGATGGTGATTTTGTTGATACTATAACCTTCAAACAGTTAGTTGGTTCTCTAAGGTATTTATGCAATACTAGACCTGACATTTGTTATGCAGTTGGATTGGTTAGCAGATTCATGAGTAATCCAAAGTGGTCTCATTTCCAAGTTGTTGTCAGAATTCTGAGATATATCAAGGAAACCCTGAAATATGGAGTGATGTTTCCTTCTGAAAGAAAGAACCAGAATTAGTAAGTTATTCTGATTCTGACTGGTGTGGAGACATAGTGGACAGGAAAAGTACTTTTGGATACTTGTTTAAATTTCTGGGAGACCCCATTTCCTGGAGTTCCAAGAAACAGCCTGTCGTGGCTCTGTCAACATGTGAAGCTGAGTATATCGTAGGTGTTGTAGCTGCTTGTCAAACTGTTTGGCTTCTGAATCTCCTGCACGATCTGAAGGTTGAAGTTGAGGAACCTCTGAAGCTGATGATTGATAATAAGTTTGTATTTGATCTTGCCAAGAATCCAGTGCTACATGGAAGAAGCAAGCACATTGAGACGAAGTATCATTTTCTCAGAAGTCAAGTGCAGAAAGGAGTGTTAGAAGTTCTGCACTGCAGCACTCAGAAACAGCTAGCAGATCTTCTAACGAAGGCAGTTAAGACAAATCAATTTCTTGACTTGAGAGATGAAATTGGTGTTGTTAGCTTCTGATAGAATATCTAAATTAAGGGATGGTATTGGAAATATAATTTAGTTAATATCTACAATTCTCAATGCTTATCTTTAATAGGGCCTTTTGGCATTTTCAATATTTAGTATAAATATGCTATACTAGATTATCAATATTGTACCCAATTTTATCTCCTCTATTTTGATATACAACAGTAGTCTTGTTATCATTCTTGTTCATTCTTCTTCTCCCACTTCATTATCTTGCACCAACATGTTATATATTCGATTTGGTTTGTTCTCTGCAGTTCGCAACAGAAAAGACAGTATCACAAGCGACTACATCACATTCTTGCATTGATGGACCTCTCAAGCGGATTCAACGTTTAAACTTCGATCTTATCAACAAGCTTTCTTTTAATACTAAAATTGATAGTTCTCTGCACAATTTCAATAGTGCAATTCTACTGCATGATAATAATTCCACACCATCGGTATATATCACATTCCACTGACCTTGAAATCTATTATTCTTTATTATCATAAATACTATCTCTATTTAGTAGGATACAATCAGTTTGATTAAGGCTATGTTTCGATAAGCTGGATTTGTTTGAGTCCAAAGCATGAAGTGAAGCGCGTTGCTGATTTTACTGATGATGAGAATATCGAATTATGTCCTATAGCACATATACTTGGTAGACTACTTGAGAGCTATCTTAATGCATCATCACTTACATTTTGTATTCAAGTAAGAAAATTTAGACAAAAGTTTATGACATGTTTATCTTATGACTGGTGCAATTTTTCAAATCGATTTTTTTGTACCATAGGATGACAAATGATACTTACTTCTCCGCATCGTGATATAGAGCCTTATGATATTGATTGATGACATTTTTGGTTCTGTTGAAGCCAATATGAGACTTCAATTCTTGCATGGAGAGTCCCATGTGAACTATTTCACTCGATTGGTAATAAAATGAATGATAGAAGAAGTTTTAAAAAATTCTATTGTTGCATACTAATTAGTGCATAGGTCATGCACAACTACTAGACTTCTTTGCTCATTATCCTTCACTAAAAGGTGCATCATAAAGGTATGATTGAGAATCATCAAGGTATGAGATTGATAAGGAATCATCTAGAATTGTAAGATTATTCTTGACTTCTGGAGCTCCTTATATAGATCTACTTCAAACTGATGTGTATATCTATAAATTGTTTGAGATAGTAGTTAATCATAGAAGCATGCAACATATAATTGCTTCTGACTAACTCCTAACTACTTAGAACACAATACTTACATTGAGACATTTGTTATAGCTATAACTATTTAAACACAGATGCATGAAACATGGAATGACTAAGACCTAAACGAATATCCTATGTGCTTGGTTAATGTTAAGAAGCTGTGACATTTCTAATAAAATAATATCCGACACCAATTTAAGTGTTTATCTAGATCAATTTGTTTATCTTTTAAAAACATTATTATTTTGATTTATCAATGCATTATCTAATATACATGTTGGTACAATTGAGATGGTGGAAAAATTATTATTTTTGTTGGATCCTAATTAACTAATTTGGCTTAATTCTTTGCACTAATTGAACCATATTTAAAATTTGAAATGACATAATAATTTGAAGTGATCTTTTTTATGGGATTCATTGTTTTAGATAGCAGATTATTAGGAAATAAGCTAATATTATTATTTTTAGGTTTCTATACAATTATTTTCTCAGTATAATAATTTCTAATTGACATTACAATGTTAATTCTAAACATAAATAATAATTTTTGGACGGGTAAATGTACAAAATATTTATGAGATAATAGTTAAAGAAAAAAACCACATTTTAAAATGACTTCTATACATTTTAATTAGTTTTGATTTTAAGTTACATAATTTTTAAAACTTAAAATTAATTTTAAAATTGTTATATACTTTTTAAAAAATTTATTCAAACAATTCACACCATAAGATTTGTAAAATAAATAAAATATTACAAAATTAAGGAAAAGTCTATTGATAAAAAGTTTTAAATTTTATCCAACCAATTTATGGGACATAATCAAATAGATTATATACGAAAAGCTTGCTAATGGTACAATTATATTTTTAAAAGAGAATAAATCATAAATATTTTTATAAACAAAAAAATAAAATTTACTGATACAAATATTTTTGAAAACGAGTATAAGTTATAAAAAAATTTATAAATAAATTTTTTTTTATTGTTGATATTATTATTTTTATAAATAATAAGTTATAAATATTATTATAAATAGGAATAAGTCTATTTTTGTTACAATTATTTTTATAAACAGAAATAAATTATAAATACTTTTATAAATATACACACCAGTTCTAATCACTTATATTATATCAAATAATTGTATTATTTTTATAAATATTTGAAAATACTATTTAGATCATAAAAGTGGATACATATTATTAATTTATATTTGAGATTATGAGAATATTTATAATCTCTAAAATAAATTTCAAAGGTGACAATATTAGTTTATGTTTAATATTGTTAGAATTATATTAGCTTATCTTTGATATATTGAGTTAATTGTTTAACATGTGATGTGAACATCATACGAGATGATATATGATAGCATAAATTTCTTACTAATAAATATTAAGACAGCTTAAATCACGTCACGATCACAACAAATCATAGCACAATTTGACGAAATCATACGTAAAAGGAGATGAAATCTTTTCTTTTTTTTTTGTAATTTATATTTTTTCCTCATATTGTGGCTATGAACGTTTGTACCACGGGTAACTAAGTTTCCTTTAATTAGACCTTTATAGATAAATCCTTCTTGAACTGCTCAATCTACATATTAAAGTTTATGCTTCATATTTTGACAATTTGCGACCGATCATAAATGCCCATGATTATTAACTCTAACTCTTACCAGTTAGTTGACATATCTTATTGTTCTAACTATAATAATTCTAGACATAAAACATTATTCATGATGTTGAAACTTACGTCTAATAAAACCTTCTTCAACTACAAAGAAAAAAATATGATAAGAGAGTTGAAAATTATAATTAAGATGAAAATATAAGAAAGTTAAAAACCTTGAAAAAGTTGTAGGATAATAAATAAAAAATCAATAACCCAAGAACACTTAGATGAGATGGAGTAGGTTTAAAAACTCAAGAGCACTTGAATGAAATAGAGTGAATCTCTTCCAACTTAACCAAAGATCTTGAATTTGATCTCTCTTGGATGACAAAGTAAAATTATTTTGCCTTCAGGCAATTTTCATGAGAGAAATGTAAGAAAGATGAAAATAGAGAGGGAAACAACAAAAGAGAGACTATATTTTTAGAGTGAGATAGAGAGAAAGGCAGAGTGGAGTTCCCACCCTAAAGTCAGGATCCTCCTCCGATAATTTGTGGTAACATGTTAGAGAAGCCTAAAATGAAACATCACCTATGCTACTATTCATATATATTATGACAAGTTTTCCGACAAAGTTATTAATCTAAATTATTTTGAATTTTTTCAGCATAATACTTTGAAGGCGCTTAATGAGGATTACAAGTTAATTACTGAATTGCAATCTTGTTTGGAAGAGGAAAAAATCATGATTTGATATCCATGCTAAGCTGAAGTCAACGCTGCCTTTTTCCAATCAAAAGCATAGAATATCTAGGTGGATTAATTCGAGTGGAAAACTTGTATCTATAAGGTGGAGGTACTTTATAAAAGCCATTTAGGCTTATTGTACAAGTGCCTTTTTGTTTCCTCTTATGATGGTTTGTTTGGGTGAGGATCAAGTGGTAATGAGCAGAGAATAATAGATAGATTTGGTGGGACATTTTTCTCAATCAGTAAAAAGCTGGTTGTACAAGCTTTTACCACATTGAAGCTTGAATATGGCAAAGATAGGAAAAAGGATAGAAAAATTTGTCCAACCAGGATGCTATGATTTCTCCACTCTTATTAGAAACAACACAACACATTCAATAGTAAACATCAGCTACTCGCAACTGCGGCCACGGCATAAGAACAGTGCACAACAACATGTAGTTTTTAAAACATAGTTCATATAATTTTTAAAGATAAAATCCTGTGCTCAAAATATAATAGTCTATAACAATTAAACAACACTAACCCAAAAAAAGCATAAACAGTATATCAAGTCTACTGGGGTACGGCTAGGGTCACCAGAGCATAAAGCCCAACTATTTATTCGGCATCATCATATATAGACAAGAAATACAAATTCCTGTATAGATAGATGTTTAGGAGCGAGGTTCTTTTACCGCACAGGTTGTTGGTTATAATGGTTCTTCTCTTTTTTCTTTGCAGCAGCAAGCCTTGCGTTCCTTGCAGCAGCTTCTTGAGTAGCAGCTCGAGCAGCAGCATCCACTTCTTTATTGGATTTCTTCTTTTTCACGGAAGCAAGTTTCTTAAGACGCTCTTTCACATCAACAACAGATGGATCCTCCTCTGCGTTTTCGGCCGCATCAGGCCCAATGTTTGTTTCGGAATTGCTGTGCTGACCGTTGGATTCTTTCACCTCCTTGGAAGCTTTTTCCTTCTTTTTCTTCTTCTTGGCATTCTTTGACTCCACAGCTATTTCTTTCTTTTCTCCATTTGCATCCCCTTCAACATCTTTTTTATCCTCAGGTGCGCCTACAAATAAAAGTTTGCAATTTGAACAAATCAACAAATAATTTGCGTCAAGTGATTGCATCTAGATAGATATACATAGAAAATTTAATTCTTTTTTATACAATAATAAAAAATGATTAAAAAACTTGAATTCAACATAGTTAATCCAAAAACCTGCAAGTGCAGAAAGTAAAAAAAAAAATGGAGGCAAATCTGTGAGCAAAAGCAGGAAACCTCCAAAATGGTAAGGCCGATGCCCGATAGTGTAAAACAGAGGCACAAGTGACGGCCAATCAACAATCTGAACTTGTGCAAAATATAAACAATCCTGCGAATAATGTACCTTGCGAATCATCTTGACCTTGCCCATCATTACTTTCTTTCTGTGCGACTCCAAAATCAGCTAAAAGAGCCTCGAGCTCTTCAAGTTCCTTTTTCTTCCTTTCCTTCTTGGAGAGCTGTCGTTCTGCTTCCTTTGGTACCACAGGAACTTCAGCTTCCTTCTTGAGCTCAGGTTCAGGTTTCACAGCGTCCTCCGGTTCTGCTTCATGATCTTGCTCTTCCTCCTCCTCATCCCCATCATCTAAAATATCTTCCTCACTTTCAGTATCCTGTTAAAAATTGTAAACTATCAACTCTAGAATAGCACGAGAGTTTTCTAACCATTCAACCAACAACCACACCAAACAAACACAAAGGTAAATCACTTTAAACATATAAATAAAATTACATAGAACTGAACAATAATACTGCTACCACGACATTGTTTCCATCACTGAAATGTATCCCACACAAAATCATGTGCCGGACATTTCTAAGATACTAATGCATTCAAAGGATCTCTAATTCAAAAAACATGACCTCAGAAACAACTAAACAGCACACACAAAGAAACCATATATTTATCTATTCTTTACTATACGAACAGCATAACATTACCTAGAAGGAACACAAGCCTCACCAAATAACCAAATACAGTCTCCTAGTAAGAATAGATATAATCAAGTATTCAGAAAAGGGAAACACCAAACACCACAACAACAACAACAAAAACAAAAAAGAGGAATATTCAGAATAGTTCATTTGGATTTATCTCATCAAATAAGCATTTTTATGTTGCTTTCAACTTAATTTCATAAACTCCTTCGAGGTTTTAAAAAAGGATCCGCGACCGCAAAAACGGACACAACAAACACAACAAACGTTTCAACGGTATCAGCATATACCCTTACCCACCAATTTATGTTAAATAACAAATTGTGATTAATTCACACCGCGATGACCACAATTAATGTTGCAACCCCTGTACAAACCAAAATCGCAAAAGCGCCTTTAAGCCACCTCACCGGAAAGCAACCTAAATCTCAATTAGCTTCCTAATGTATGCTACGTAAAGAAAGTACAGATATGCAGAATTTCATCCCTTTCAGTCTTTGATTGTAACACAAACACTGCAAAATGCCAAGGAACTAACAAACAAGACAACTAAATTGGGATTTATACAACAAATAATTTTTCATTTCATTCAAGTAAACCAATATACCAAATCCAAACAATCCTTAAAATGAGTACAAGACATTAAGAAAAAAACCTCAAAATTGTCCGTCTTTTCCTCACTATGTTGTGGGTCAGAAACAGACCAAACAGATTGAGGCGGTGCAGTGGTGGCATAATAATCATCATCATCGTCATCATCCACATCACCCCATGAAGAAGCATTCAATGGGGCCGGAGCCCAAAACATCTTGGAATGCGATTCAGATTCCACTTTCCCCGATTTGGAACCCTTATTCTTCCTCTCCTTATCCGATTTCTTTTTCTTCTTCAAAGTATCAAGCGCCGCAAACACGTTGGTGTTGTTAATTACCAACGAACCATCGTCCCTTCTGCTTCCACCACCGACCATTGTCAAAACCTCGCCGCTTGTGTTGGTGTCGATTCTAACCAAATTTGTGACTGAATCGAGTATTATATATTGAAAAAGGGGAAGCGGTTATAGAAAAAATTGAAGGTTTTTATGATTTGATTTAATTGAGAAAATGAAAAGGAAGAGTGTGAGATCTGGAATTGAAGGAGTAGATAGAAATTGATGAAAAGAAGTTTGAGAGAAAATGGAAAATTGGGATTAGGGTTTGGAGAGAAAGAAGAAAATGAGATGGTTAGAAGAAGAAGGAACCGAGTGAGAGGCAAATGGAGCTAGGGTTATATCAAGAGAAGATAATAACGATACAAAATGATAGGGTGCTTCTAAAGGGCATTATTATCATTATTTATTATTATTACTATTATTTATTATTAATAAAGACTTATATTAAATTAAAAAATCAACATGATATAAGGCGATCCTAAGGATCCAGCCAAACAAAAATACAAACGAAGCTAATCAAGCATTAACCTAACAATTTTATCTTTCAAAGATTTACAATACCCCCCTAAAAATTATATTGTCAATGATAGTTTTGAGCATATGATTATAATCTAAAACAGTGCCAAAACATGCACTGTTACGATAAGATCAAGCTCTATGAATTGTTTCAGTAATAACCAATCTTAGCAAACACGATTTTCAACCTTTTCCTTTACCATACTTGATGATCGAAACAAGCTCTTCATCCCAAGACTTAGGCTGATGCTGATGGATATGAAGCGAATCTAGCACCCCATACCAAATCTTTCTAATGTTATCACAGTCAAAGAAAAGGTGGGATATAGTTTCAATTTTTTAGCAGAAAACGCAGCTGCTATCAGTAAGGAATCCAATATGCAAAGTCTACTTTTTGTTGCAAGCTTCTTTTGACAGGCCAACCAAAAGATCACCAGTACTCTAGGCCTAGTTGGATTATTCAACATCAGACCACTTCAAATCACATAATGATTATCTAAACAAGACAGGTAACATTGATGCATGTTGAACTTACCTTTGGAAGACATGTCCATCCAAAGATTCATGTTAGACTGGATAAAAGGCCTTTGATCCAAGACTTTCAGCATAATCCAGGTGCTAGAGGTTTTAGCCTTAATATCCATGATATTTTGACTCTTCAAGTAATAAGAATGGACCCATTTCACCCATAAACTGTCATATTTGTTGTAAATGTTCCAAAGTAGCCTAATCAAAGTACACTTGTTCCAGATACACAAATCAATAATGTCCAAACCTCTTTGCTTAATTGGCTTACAGACTTTAGCCCATGCCACCAAACTCTTTATGCAGACTTTATCCTTTCCAGACCAAATAAAGGAGCGACAAATCGCATCAATTTTCTTAAGCACAACCTTGGGGAGGGGAAATCACATTAGCCAGAAATTAGCTATGGCAAAAGATATGCTCTTGACCAATTGAATCTGCTCTGCATAACTGAGAAATCTAGCAGACCCAATGGCTAACCCTTGCAAGAATTTTATCCACCAAAATCAAGTAATGATTGCACCCTAATTTCTTGTAAGTAAGTGGAACACCAAGGTATCTAAAAGGAAGGCAACCTCCTTGAACTTAGTCCAGTTAAGAATCTAATTTTTTGTGCTAAAATCAACTGAACCAAAATAAATCTTACTTTTACTTGTATTGATCTTCATACATGTGGAAAACATAAATGTTATCTCCTCTAGCAAATAGAAGAACATCATCTATAAACATGAGATTAGTCAGCTGTAGTTTTTCACATTTTGAGTGATGATTAAAGTTAGGATTAAGTTGTATATAAACCAGGCATCTGTGAATATATTCCATAATAAAGGAAAAACAAAAAGGAGACATTGGGTCCCCTTGACGAATCTCTCTCTTGGCAATCAACAAATCAGTAGTAGCTCCATTAACAGAAAATCTGTAGGAGGCATTAGTTATAGAAGACATAACCCAATTTATAAAGATATGGGGAATGCCAAGCTCTTTAATAATAAACTCTAAGGCCTTCCAACTCACCATGTCATATGTTTTTTGCATGTCTAATTGAATCATAACTCTAGGAGGACCCCGTGTCCTACTGTGGCCCTTTATTAACTCATATGCCAACAGGATGTGGTGATGAATTTGCTGCCCAAGAATGAAAGCAGCCTGATTAGGACTAATAATGCTACCAATAACACTACTCAATCTTGCAGTCATGATTTTAGAAATGATTTTATACACTGTAGTACATACTGATATGGGCCTAAAGTCCTTAACAGAGGAAGCATAATTTGTTTTGGGAATAAGGGATACCAAAGAACAATTGAAAGCTTTGTAAAGCTTACCCCTAGATAATAAATCATTTACTATAGCTTTAACATCAACTTTAACAACATCCCAACTAGCTTTGAAGAACTTTGCAGAATAACCATCTAAGCCAGGGGTAGAAATATCTTTTATCCCTTTAAGGGCATCATAGATTTCTTCATCAGAGACCACCAAAAGATCTCTCTGCACATTCTGAAGTTGAGGTCCATTTCTCATAACCCTGATATCAATATAGTCCATAGCATCATCAATTTTTCCCATGAGAGAACCATAGAATTTAAGGACTTCCTATTTAATTTGCTCCTGAGAAGTTTTATGGGAGCCATCATCTTTCTGCAGCATAGTTAGAGCCTTGATATTTTGTTTGGCTTTAATTGAAGAATGAAAGAAACCATTACAACCATCCCCATATTTTAGCCATTGAATTTTAGCTCTTTGTCTAAGGATGGAATCATCAGTATCATTCCACTTAAGCAATTCTTTTGTGCATTTTTTGACAAGCAGAATTTTGTCACTATTCAATAAGTCAGCTGCTAACTCAACCTGAGCTTTGGAAAGATTGTCCCTAGCTATAGCAATATGATGCTTAACAGACATCAAAGCCTTATTAAGCTTGAACAAAGTCTGCCTCAATCTCTTCAGTTTATGCCAAAGAATAAAAATAGGGCTGCCAGTCATCGGGTTATTCCAACTAGCTTTGACAGTATCATTGTAGCCTGCAGACTCAACAACACTATTAATAAACCTGAATCTTTTGTGGGGGCAGAGAAGATGTTCTGATCACCAAGATAGAGCAAAACATGGTCAGAGACTTGGGGGGGGGGGGGGGGAATATTTAGGGTATAACTCAAATGGTTCTGAAACCAATCAGGGTTAGCCAAAAAATGATCAATTCTGGAGTAAATAGTTCCCATTCAATGCTTATTTGACCAGATGAAGTACTCATTAGTACTATCCATCTCAGCAAGATTTTTGATGTTCATTAAATCAGTTAGGTCCTTAAACTCACCCTCAATAACTATAGAGCCACCAATTTTGTCTTTTCCATGGAGGACATTATTAAAATCACCTGCAAGGCACCAAGGCCCTTGCTGGTTAATCTTCTCCACATCCTACCAAAGATACCTCCTTTGCTCCAGCTTGTTTAAGGCATAGATTGCAGTCAGGAAAAACCTAAAGTTTCCAAGAGTGTCAAACACCCCACAATGAATCATTTGGCTAGTAGCAGAAATAAGCTTGATATCAACATTATTACTATTCCAATTAACCCAAATCCTACCATTGACATGACAATTGTAGTTATCAATATAGTTATCACCAAGTTTCAGCATCTTCCTAACTTTATTGGCTTGATGAGCTTTGACTCGAGTTTTGACCAAAATGTTAATATCAGCCCTAAGCTCTAGGAGACGGGAGCTAATCTCCCTAAGCTTAGTTATTTTATTAAACCCCCTAACATTCCAAGACACTAACATTAACCAGGATTTTGGAGCTCTAGAAGATCATCCAAAATCGCTAAAGCATCAAACCCATTATCACAGAAAATTTTACCAGAAGAGACTACATTAGCTTGAATATTACCTTTATCCTTGCCTCTTTTTGCAACTGCCCACTTTTCATCAGCCTGTTCACTAACAGTAACCACTTGAGCCATAGGAAGAACACTTTGATTTTTGTTGCTCACAGAAGCATCATCAGGTTTTGTCTCTACCAAAGGTTTGGTCTTAGGCTTCCATTGTTTCAACCACGCCTTAGGTTTATCACAATTATGCCCTAACTTTTGACAGATACTACAAAAAGCAGGCCTCCATTCATATTCAATACTTTGTTCCATTTTTTCACCAACAACATCATGAATTGTGATGGCTTTAGGGAAATATTTTGTGATATCCATCTCCACGAGAATTCTCGCATAAGATATATGAAGCCGGTTAGCAGTACATTCATCGGTAACAATAGGATTACCCAAGGAACTACCAATTTTGTTAAGGCTAGCATCACCCTAAAGATAGATAGGCAGCTAGGGAAGCTTGACCCATAGAGGAAGAGTACGAAGAAGATCATCCTTTAAGTTGAAATCAGAACGCCATTCACAGATAAGCAGCGACATGTTACGAAACGTGTAAGGACCCCTCATAAGAACCTCATCCCTATCTCTGAAGGTTTTGAATCTTAGGATAAAATATCCCTCATCATTATAATACATATCAGGTAGCTGGACGAAATTCCATGTCTTTGTCATGAATTTTTGAACCCCAAGAGACGGTTCCCAAAACTAGATTTCAACAAGAATATCCTCAGCTTCAATAAGGACCTTAAGTTCTCCATTAACAATTTTGGGAGCAATGTATTTCATGGCTCTCCCCTTAGCATGATTCTTATTGTCGTTAAGGACATCTACCCATAACTTTCTGCTTGCATTAGTTAGGGTTTCATCCTCATTTGCAACACCTTCACAAATTTCCTCAGTCTGCGAAGACGAACTAGCTTGCTTGTTTTCTCTAACAATTGACGTAGCGTTCCCACACAAGTGAGAAGAACCAGATTCAGACGGAGCTTGTGGAACATGTGATGACTACGGTGATTTCGCCCTAAATGCAGGCGGCGACACCGTCTTTTTCGAACGCCCCGGCTTCCCCATCTCCAATGTGTGAAAGATTTTTTATACTCATAATAATAATAATAATAAT